GAACGATAAATTATTTGAAAAATTAATAATATTAAAAAATAATGTTGATTTATGATGCTGATTTATTATTATTTACTAATTATACAATTATTTAAAAAAATATCGAATTATCTTATATAATAAATTTGTTATTTTCTACAATTTATTTTAAATTTTTTTTATAAATTTATATTATAGATAAGAAAATAAAGCTTTATACATTTTGATTTTGACTATTTAAAGTTTTTTAAAAAAGTATCTTGTATCTTAGATACTTTTTTTATAAAAAGATACAAGTATCTTGTATCTTATAGAAATTTTTCTAAAGTATTTTGTATCTTAAATATAAAATTTTATAAAGTATCTGTATCCGAATACAATTTTCTGAAAATTTGCCCAACCCTGTATCTTTTAATGAGGAATCTCGTTAATAAATCAACATATGGTAGATGATAGAATGGTGAAAAGTACTTTTAAAATGTAACTAGATACATTGTCTACGAGTAAATCTCAGATATATTCTTACAAATGTATCGAGACAAAAATACAATTTTCCCAAGAAACCTTTTTATTATAAATATATATGATGTAAATAATGCCCAATTTAAGATTCTATTGTAAAAAATGAAATTTTGAAGTGAGCTAAAAAAATTCCAAAATCTTATCGCAAATATAATTAATAGATTATAATAATTGTTAGATTTTAATAATGGATATTTCTCAAAATCGTCAACATTAAGACTTTACCATTTCTGTCATTTTTAGCCACACTAAAGTTATTCTATCATTGCAGTTTGCCACAGAGTAGTGTGATATTGAATAACAATTTTATATTGGAATAATAATTAAATATACTAAAATCCCGACACTCATTCAAAAATAAATCACTCAAAATTTGATGAGCAAGATTTATATCATTTATATCCTCTAAGGGGTGTATGAATTAAATTATATTTTTTAGAGATTATCTGTTTACAATAAATTGGAAGCTTTAATAGTTCACTTACCATGTTCTCGTCATCCATTGCTTAAAACAAAATTGTCTGTTTATTTTTTATATTGAAATAAACTTGAACATAATATTAATGAATTGAATTTAGATATCTTTAATACAAGAAAAATTTAAATAAAATGATATCAAAATATTTCTAAACAGGATATCTCTAAATATATATCAAGATGCAAATTTGTGGTATGGGTGGGTTTTTAGCTCAAAAGCCTCCCCATCCATAGTTTTAAAAAAATAACCGAAGGTCTATTAGTCTAAAAAAATTTACCCTCCCGCCCGTCCATATAAAATTTTAATATGCCCATTCATTCAATTTTATTAACTAAAAAAAAAATGATTCTGTTTCAGACAAAAATGTTTTATAATTAAGAAAATTTATATATTAAGGATAAAAAATATACAATTTAAATTACCCATAAGGAATTTATTTGATCAAATAAAATATTTATGTAAATAATAAATATTAATATTAACTGACATCATTTGTAATGCAAAGTAATAATGAATCCACATTTTCTGGATTATAACAGTATTTTCTTTGTTCGAAAAATCTTTCAGTAATACTAAACCCTCGTTCAGAAGAAGCACTAGTTGCTAGAATATTTAATATTTTTCTAGCTAATCTTGATATCTTTTTATTGTCGTTTCCACCAAAGTGGAATATCCGTTGGAAGTATATTCTCTTCCTTAAGTGAGATATTTATATAAAAAGTGAACTAATTATAATAAATTTTTCAAAATAAGTAAATTTAAATTAATAGTAAGCTAAACTAAGCAATAAATCATGCTAAATTATATAAATCAAACTTGTTACTGTTGTAATATTGCTTATAACTTATATTTTTTTATTATATGCAAAATTGCTTACTGAATTATGAAAATTGGTTATGCACAGACAATATATTTTAGATAATTTTATTATGTAAATTAGATGAAAACGCGAGATAATTGTAGAATATACGGTTTAACAATTGTTCCTGTTATTCACCTTTTTATTTTTACACTTGATATTTCTTATAATTTTTATTACTTATATTTTTAATTTTTATGTCTTATTTTATAATTAGGTTGGATCATGTAATAAAGTGATATTAAAATTATTTATTCATATATTTATATATCAATGTTGATTATTATTTTTAGCAACATTATATTTATAAGTTACAGGGTCTTTCAAACCCTAATATTAGAGTTTTTTACTGCTTGAGTCTTATACGATCTTCTATTTCAATCTATTCTCCAATCGTTACCTCTGCTTTTTACAGTTATACTTTAAGATTTAAATATTTTGTTATATCATTATGTACGGTGCTTTACTCTGTAACAACATTACCATCCCATCTGTTTCAAAAATCGCATTTATAATTTAATATCTTATAACTCTTTGCTTTAGGGGAAATTGGTAAAATCAGATTTCCACGTCTATGATGTTATATTCTTTCATGCAAATTAAATCCAAAATAACTTTGATATCTTTTTTGCACTTCATAATCTCTTCCGACTATAACATCTTCCAGTTGTTAGAACATTAGTATTAAAAATTTTGAAATTTTAGGGCATTTTTTTTAATGTTTATTTAAATGATTTTATATAACAAATAAAAGATTATAAATTTAACTCAACCGCCTTTTAGAAATTTTTTAACCTGTCCACTCATAGTTCTAATTTTTTTTAACCCGCCCGCCTATTCTTTAAAAAATTTCGCCCGCCCGCTTTGACGGGTGGGTGCGGTAACCTTTAGATAATATTAAAAGTATCTAGATATAGGAAACACATTTTTTATGTAAAAAATTATAATGGTTTCATTTTGGTTATGGTTCTTAAGAAAAAAATTATAAAGGTTCGGTTCGGCTAATTATAAAGGCGGTTAAAAAAAATTTTTTAATTGAAGCAACAATCGTCTAATTTATTTTTAATGAATTATATATAAAAAAATATATAAGATTCAAAATAACTCATTTTTAAATATATTATTTGAACGCATAAGTAATATATTTTCTAATAAAAATGGATTCCCTTTTGTTCGCTGTGACGATAACACAAATTTTAGCCTCGAAAAGGCCCTTTCTACAGAATTTTGTTTTGCAGGAACCGCCAGTACTAAAAGAGCAAGTTTATATAATTCTGGATATTTAAATTATTTCCATTTCTAAAATATAAAAACTGAACCGGTTTAACGGTTCTTTTTTACTCCTTCAAAAAATAATTATATCGGTTAAGGTTCAGATTAAGATAACGGTTTATAATGGTTAAACGGTTCGTTACGGTTCATTTCGGGTCCCTGCATTAAATACACACCCGTGAAGTTTTGAAATAGAGGGAGTCTTTAGGTGTATATTAGAGATCTTCAATGGGCTAGTTTTAGTCAACAAGCCCTCCCACTCGTTGTTTTAAAATTTTTAACTTGCCGACCTGATATTAAATTATTATAATGGCTAGTTTGGCTCTTTATTTATTTTAATGTATATTTAATTAAATATATATAATCTGCAATATTATGAAATTAAACTATTATTTTTAATAAACAGAAGTCTGTTTTTTCGCCATAAAAATATTAAAAATTCACCCAACCAGTACCTAAAATATTTTTAACCACGCGTCCAATGTTTAAAATACTTTAGAAGGACCCGCCCATTGTCGAACTCTAGTGTATGTAAATATAATCATAAAATATTTAAAAAGCTAATTTTTTTAATTACCAATTTTGACTAAAATAATATTTATAAATATCACTTACGCCACCTAGAAAAAAATTTAAAATTACATGTGAGAATGAAAAATATAATTTTGGCATTTTGCACCCCACTATATTCCTGCAAATATTTTATTTATATGTTAAAATAATCATTAACACATTATTCAAGTAAATAAAAAAAACATAATTAATTACCTTTTAGCAACAAATCATATTGGCCATTTTAACTAGAAATCCCTATTAAAATAATACTCTAACAACTTATTTTAAATTTTGGTGACCCCATATCAGGATCTTACATATATCTTTACTAAAAAAATAGATGTCTTTTGAAAAAGGCAGAGTTGTCCTATTTGCCCAGCTTGGACATGCACCTAATTTTATTCTGTGCAATTTATTTTGAATTTATATATCTTCGATTGTCCCATTACAGAGTATGGACGAAAATAATTCCCCGGAAAAAAAATCCCCGGAAATAAATTCCCTGGAAAAAAAATTCCCCGGAAGATTACTCCCCGGAAAAAAAATCTGGAAAAAAATTCCCCAGAAATAAATTCTCCGGAAAAAAAATCCCCGTAAAAAATTCCCTTGGAAAATAGTTCTCCGGAAAAAAATTGCCATAGAAAATCGGAAAAAATTTCCTCGGAAAAAAATTCCCCATTTTTTAAATCGTATAAAATATTAAATTATTTTTATAAAATTAACAATATATGAAAAAATCCCTAAAATATTTTTTGAGAAAATCGTCAAAAATTCCTGTAAAATTTTTCCAAATAAAAATTTTCAAAATAAAATAGTATTTGTGATTAATATTAAACCTAACAGAAACTTAAATTATTAATTAATACTAATAAATATAATGTTATGGACTTATTCCGAACCCAGGTTTAGTAAAAATTAAAAGCAATATTTATAAAATATACGAATTGGATACCTAGTCTCTCTGATATTATGCAAAATATTATGGCCAGCTCAGATTTTTTATTTTGACCCGGATTTATAAATTCAAAAATTACCTAGTCTCTGTAATATTAAGCTAAATATTATTATAAGTTAAGTAATGATAATGGCCAGCTCTGATAATTATTTTGTTATGAATTTTTTTTAGAAAAGAAATAATTATAAATTTATTAAATGATTTATGGAATAATAAATTATATTATTCAAATGAAACAATTCTAGAACCTATATGTTATCCAATTGAAGAGAGAAAATCAGGCAAGTCCCTTCTCTCTTCTAAAAAATCAATATATAAATTTTTTTAAATATTTTGTTTCGTTGCACTACGATTTTTTTTGGGAGTGTATGTCCCAATACTCCATTGACCGATTTTGCCCATGTCGACGTTTCCATCCTCATTTTTTCGATTAGTTCCCATATCTTAGGTTTTTTGTGGCCTATAATATGCTGAAATCGATTATTCCATCCTTCACATACATTGTTTGTTCGATTTTCCCCAGCAATAGTAACGTTGAACACATTCCATGTTTCAGGTGGGAACAATGGCTCTACTTGCCTTTGAGAGTTTCTCCCATATCTCAACTCTCCATTCACATAATTTTTATCAAAATAAATCAATAATTCTTTGTTTTTATCCGATAAAATGGTTTTTAAATACTCCATACCTCGTTTGACATCGTGTATAGGTAAGAATGCTAATCCATTGATCATAGCTGCAAATAAACATAACGTTGGATCATTCCGATATGATGATTCTAACCCCAATTCTTGAATCTTCCTATGAGTGGATTATGTTAGATGATAAAAACATCCTTGGATGATATCTCTAACTAAAAGTTGAAAAAATATAGATTAAAATTATTGTATAGGTTTTATTTAATATTTATGTCTTTATCAATTTTCATTAATTACTAGTGGTGCCTTCATCCTGCACATAAAAAAACAGTTTAAAATATTCCTAAAAACAACAGAATAGGGAAAATAAAAGTAAAAAAAATTTCAAGGTCCACGGTCAAAAATACATTTTAAAATCAAGGTCCTAACATATCTCGATAGTATATAGATGTATTTAAATCGTAAAAAGAAACCTAGAGTATTTTCGACGGCATTGATTGAGGCCTTTTCAAAATCCATATAAATTGTTATCGAATCTATGACTAAATTCCGTTCTTGGGCTTTTTCGAGTAAAATCTTAAAAATTTCTCCAATGTGGCCGGAATAATTAGAAACCTTTTTATTTTGTGATTTCTAAGTGTCCTCTTAATACTATCTTCATTCGGAAGTCTTTTTCTGGATTCGGGAGATAATTTAGACATTTCTTCTGCGTATATTTGGCAAGTATTTTGATTTGTTTCATAGGCTTTTCTTTTCATCGAGCTTATAGCATTTTCAATTTGATATTCATGTGGGTTTATAGGATGAATATGAGGCGTATTTTCCAATGTATAGTCATTTTCATTGTAATATTTCAAAATAACTGGGAATTTTTCAGCATTATATAATGTACATTTGAATCTTTTAAAATTTTTCGTAGTTTTATGATCATTGTAGGAATAGCCCTCATGAAAAATTTTAGCATGCTTATTTAACGGAAGAATAAATATAAAAAATTTATTAAAATTATCAAAAATGTTTAAAATAGTAAAAGAAAATTTTATAAAAAGTAATAAAAAAAACTATGAAAATCGTTTGTTTCAAAATTACAAGGAATATACCACCCAAATATATAAATTTATTTATTCTTGAGCATAACTTTCCTTTCAACGTTATTAATAATAATAATATCAGGGAACTAACTGGGATTATGTAATAACATTTCCGGAGTTGGAAACTTTCAAAAAAAAATTTTTTCTATTTTAAGATTATAGTCCCTCTGTGTTTTCTTTGATGAATTAAATAAAAGTATATTTTTTGGTAGCATTCAATTACTTGAGATAGTCTTTGAATTAAATAAGCTTTTGTAATCAGTGATTAGGATCATTACTTTTTTTGAAAATTTATAATCAGATACAATTTTTAAAATTAATAGTATTAAACATAAAAAATTTCCATTATGTTATTTTTGTCCGAGATTTACACTGATATAAACGAACGGAACAGAATAGTGTCATAATATTCATTTTAATGTTATATATATTTTAACCTTAATGGCGTGTTAGAAATCTCCCCCCTCCCCTTCATGGTAAATATAATGTGGTTTAATTACCTGTTTTCATAATATATATTCAAGTCTAGATGAAAAGTGGATTATGGAAATAACTTTTCTCTTTCTTGGGAAAAATTTGCTTTCACATTTTTCTTTTCAATTTTAAATTTTTCAGAATTTTCATATATTTCTATAAAAATCTTTCGTCACAAATCTATACTTTTTATGCTATCTACTAAATTATAAAATATAAAAGTTACCAACGATTTATCAATTCTCATTTAAAAATTGCCCTTTTGAAATTAAATAAGAAATACTCTCAACGTTCAGAAAATACTAATATAATTTTTTAGAAATATTTTCGTTTTTTAGAGGCGGGATTATTTTTTGATAATTAAAAAAAATTCTTCGGGGATTTTTTTTCGGTTTTTTTACCGGAGATTAATTTTCCCCCATATTTAATTTAAAATCTAAAAAATTGGGAATTTATTTCCGGGTAATTATTTTCCGCTTACCTAACAATATATGCATACATTTAGTCTTTCTTGAATAAATGGCTGCCATCATGCTGATATAGAATTCGTTAATAAAATTCATTCAGTTCGCAAGAGCAATTAAAGGAATATTAAAGAAAAATTGAAATCTTTCAAATGTTAGAATCAGTCAAATAATTTCACAATTTTCCTAATATAAAATAGCGTATAATTTGTTATTACTTAGTCAAAATCTTTTTATATTACCAAATAAAAACTAGTCGACATACTTGTTATTTTAATTAAATCTTAATGGACAAAAAGAATTCCGAATATATAAAAAAATTTTGAAACATTTTTATCTTATTAAGAATTTTTTCTCTCTTATCTTGTTAATTTTCTCTAAATTATAAATATTTTTTGGGATGATCTAAAAAATGGCGAAGGTATTGTGAAATGTCAATAAAATTATTGCTTATTAAAGTTAATGTAAGATTTTAAAATGATTAATATTTAGGCATTAGTAATAATTAAACTAGAAGAGATGCCCGATCATAGAACTTTTGAAAATTTTGCCCGTCACAAAGGAAAATTCTAGATATACTACTATTCCGTATTCTAATATAAATAAGTGAATACCTTATTTTCACATAAAATATACATTTAAAATAATATTTTTAAAAAGAGTATTCCAATATCATCTTTTAATTATTAGAATAAATAAGTCATTAACTGTTTTTTATAAATCAATTAAAATAAATAAAAGTTTATACGTATTTTTATTATCGTGATAATTACAATTCTATTACAAAATAATAAATTCAATTAAAATTATTGACAAGGTGGATTCATGATTATATGAGATAATTTTGATTTCAATTTCATAAAACTCTTCTTAAATTCTAAACCGTCACCCTAAATAAATATTAAAAAATATATTAATTAATAGTTTATTGATTTCGTAGCCTAGATGAAATAATGTTATAAAACAAAGTTTAAAAAAATAAAAGCATATTAAGATTATTAAATTTATTCTTCAATAAAAATTTTGTTTAAATGGTGAATATTTTTTAAAACTGGCCCAGGATTTTGATTTTGGTTCGGTTCGCTTTTTTGTAAGGTAAGACCTATCTCTTTTAAAATTTGCTCATTTAATGGGCTAGCCCGAGTTTCAAAATCGACATTATGTATAATTTTAACTTTATAGTAGAAACTTTTTAACGTTTTCCCAAAATTTATGTTCCCTTGAAAGCGTTAATTAAAAGTTTTACTATAGTCTGTTTTCAAAATGAAATCGAGACATGAGACCATGTGATTTTTCAACTGGTTAATTGATTTGATATAACGCGCTTATATTTTATTTTAAGGTCCAGTCCGGTTTTGAACATATTATCAATTTACAGTCCAGGTACCCGGATTTTGACCTGAGTCTACAAGGTCTCTGAAAAAGAATTTACTCGGCTAAGTCTGAAATCGACTAAAATATTATCCTTCATGGGAACAAATGTCGCGATGAATATCAGTTGTGATTTGCGTTTATCGATGGTGGATACCACGAGCTTTATGTTTGAAATACGAAATTTCCATCATAATTATATTTAAATTCTTATTATAAAATTTATATTAAATAATACTTCCCAACGTCATTAATATTCGGTCACTCATATTTTATTTCATGCTTAAATTATCAAAATACAAAAAAATGTATTTATATATCAATAATTTTTTATATTTTTTTATAGCCCAATATAAGATATTGTTACTTATAATATATAAATGCAAAATTTTAAAAATATGGAAAGTAAATTGTTGACATTTAAAAAAAATGTATCACGCTTCAACAATGCTCATCACGCTGCTTGCATCAAAAATCTTCGGCCACAATTTTGTCAAGTTTTTATAAATTATATCATATTATCGCCTGCCTTTTTATTTCAGCCATATTAAAATATAAACTACCTTAGCCATAATAAAAATTACGATTCTAATGGAAAGCTATATCTGATGAAATTCGGTCTCTTATGATTCAATATAATGTGGAAGATAAATTTCTCAAATCTAAATATTCATTGTTCAATATCAGATACATATAGAAATATATAACTATGCTAATAAAAAAGCAATTAAAAATTCTGAATGTCCAACACCCACAATGAGAGAAAATAGAATGTTAAAAGAAAGCATATTGAATAATCGTCCCAATTTAATAAAATTTCATTTAAAATGAAATTCAATGCTAATTTTGTATTTTTGTTAGTAAACGTTCACATGTAATTCATTCGATCAACTATTCTTTCTATAAATAAAATAATCTGATTTAAATTTTTTAATATTTTATAATTATCAGGAGAAATATAAGCTGTAAATTCGAAATAAATCAGTTGCTTTCCATCTTCATCGTCATCAGGTCTACGAAATTTCCATAGTGTGATAGTGGAGCTGTATAAGAGGAAAAGGTGCAGGAATGTTAGACTTTGTAGATGAGAACTATTTTAAATACCATGAAATATCAATCTATATTATGTCAAGCGTCGATTCAACCTCCTTACTTGACAGAAATTTTGTATTTAAGCAGGATAGAGCCTCATGTTAACATTCAAAATGGTTATTAGATAATGGAATTACGGCTTTAGAAATGACCAGCGGCAAGTCCTGACAGTAGCTTATTATGAATTTTTAGTGCTAGATAATTTAATATCAATTACGATCAAATCTATATAAATATACTATAATATATTATTATATTAATTATTCTTAAATAACCGATTTTTTTTTAAATTTGAAAATAGTTAAAGGTAAAAAAATTAAGGTGGCAGAGCATTAATAAAGTTGGGTTGTATGATAGAAACTAAAATAAATATTTCGATGAATATAATTCAAATAAAGAAACCTCTCCAAGGGAATTAATTTTGTAAGTGAGATCCATGTCTTGTAAAATTTTGCTTATTTCTTTTATGGTATTTTTCAAATCTAATTTTGTAACAAAACGAGTCATACGTTTAACAAAACGATGCAATGGGTTGTGCTGCTATAGAATTTTTAGTTGTATTAATAAATTAACCCAAACATTTCTAATAATATACCTGAGTATTGACAGAGGTTTGAGAATAACAAACTTGACTACTCAGCAACATTTGTTCCATTTTATTGGGCTGTGAAAAACAATATACATTCGCGAAATCATTCTCCTGGGAAATCAAGATAGAATTATCATCTTCTTCTATTATCGTTGAATTATAAGAATCAACCTCATCTTCTTGATTATGTTGTTTAAATCGCTTATTGTAGTTGCCAAAATTTGCGTGATTTGTGTTAAAGTTGGGTTGAGAAAAATTGAGATTGCTTGAACTTTGTTTTATAAGTTTTTATTTGATTTTTTTTAACATAATATGATAATAAAATAACATTATGTAAAGAATATTATATACAAAAGGGTAATGTTAAAAGTTTATTAATAAATAAGATTAATTGAAGATCCTAACTAATTATAAATACTAGTATATGGAATAAATATTTAAAAATTGAATTCTTTAAAAAAGTTAATGAAGAGATATCGTTATTTTTTTTATGAAAATTTTTTAAATTAACTTGCAAACCTGTAATAGGGCATATTTAATGAGTCCGTGAACGATTTTTGTCTTGATTTTTTACCTGAAAAAGTTTCAGTTTCAATTTTTTTAATAATTATTGGGGAAAAAATAACAATTAAATTTAAATAATTGTATAAAAAATACTTACCTCGGAAGGATACAGTCACCCTAAACCACCTATGTTTTCTGATGTCCTTTATTTTGTATCGGAGTTCTGGATCTTCTAATAACATTTGCTTTAATAAAGCTATTAAAAAATTTTCTTATTTAAAATAACACATAAACTGGCATAGATTATCTAAATGTTGTAGCTTAAAAAACAGTCAAAACATTTTGTATAAAAATTTTACCACTCTCTATTTTATATTTCTTATCTTATTTCTTAAGCTAAAAATGATAGTAAACGAAACTCATTAAACTCCATAATAATAAGCACATTATCGTCTTCAGCTTCATTTTTGTAAGTAAAATAAAGTCTAATGATCAATTTAATTTTAAAAAATAAATGATATAAAATAAAATATCGATGGCCACACTTAGGGCTGGGAACCAATAGTAAAAACCCAATATTAACAAAATATTGTATTGGTATTGGGTCTAAAATATTGGTATTGGTTTAAACAATATTTTCTATTTCTTGTATTGGTATTGGTTTATATTTGGTAACTATTGGTTTATATTGGTATTGGTTTAAATTCAAATTACTAATTAAAAGAATAGAAATAGTGATTATAAAACCCTTAATTTCTAATTTTAAATAAACATGGGAAAAAAAATCATGATACCATAAAATCAGGGCTAAGAACCAACTCAAAATTTTACTGAATTCAAATTCTTTTTTTAAACTAGGAATTTATTGGTGATGTGAATATAAAAAATTTTGATTTAATCATGTATTTTTTGTATCAACAATAATAAACGTATTGATTTTGAACCATTTTATTTATCACAAAAACATAGCAAAATAAGTAAACTAAAAATGTAACATAACTTTTTATTTATACAAAATATAATGCAAAAGAATGATATAATTTTAATATAAGAGGAAATAATTTTATGTAGAAGAATCTTGCATGCGCATCCAACTTTTTAGGCACAGGCAAGCTTGTATAGTATGCTCATCTAGTGAACAACGTTGGTCTGTTATAACATACCGTCCTTCTGAAAAAGCCCTTTCAAAGCTTGATGAGGTGGCCGGAATTGCTAGATAATCTCTGGCAATTTTTGATAATACTGGATATCTATTTTTATTTAATTTCCACCAATATAATGGATTTGTACCATTGGAAATTGTGGCTTCATCTACGTATTTACTTATTTCTAAGTTGTTATTATTATGAGGTTTCACCTGATAAATTTTGTCATAAAAGGACAATTTTTTGTTATTTTGTGCTTCATTTGTAAGTTCCGCTGAATTGTTATTATTTATTTTATAAATATTGTATTCATTAGTAAGATATCCAATAAGAGTTTCCATATTATTATGCTGTAATAAATGACTTGATAGTTTAAATCTTGGGTCAATCATTGTTGAAATAATAAAGAGGTGTTTATTATAATTATAGTATTTATTAAGTTTTGTTAAGGCAGCTAAAGAAGCTGTTTTTAAAATCGCATTAGGATTATTATTATAACTCTCCACATGCTCAAAAATACTGGAATATAAAGGAATAATTGTTGGAGTATTAGCACATGAGGCTATCTCTGTAGCAAAATTAAATGGTTCCAGAAATTCTCGGTATATTTCTATATTATTCCAGGCTAAAGCACTAATATAATTTTCTTGATTGGTATTTTGTAAATGATTGGTATATGTTGTCAAATAGGGTTTGAGCAATATTGCTCTTTCAAGCATTTAGTATGTTGAATTCCAACGTGTTGGTATATCCAAAATTGGGTGAGGAAATTTTAAGTGTGGATTTTTTTCAAGATATATTTTTTCGAGTTTATTAAATTTAGATATAGAAAGTTTAAAAATTTCTTATTTTTTTTAAAGTTGTATTTAAGGGTTCCAATGCAGCCATAACAGCCAAATGTATAATATGGCAAAAGCATTTGCACACATTATCAAAATTATCTTTTAGTTTAAATTTTTAGAAATGCTAAATTATTACTTGCATTGTCTAATGTAATGCAAAAAAAAATCAATTTCAAATTTTACTTTTAATACAGAATTAAAAATATTAATAGAATTATGTGCTGATTTAAAAGGAATAAAATCTAATAAATGATTATTTAATTTAAAATCATTATCAATATAATAAATTGTTATGCACATAAAGGGTATTTTATTTGGAGAGGACCAAATGTCCATTGTTAAGGAAAATTTAGATGTAATGTTAGAAAGTACAGATTTTAAATTGATAAAAGAACTATGATAATGTTTCATAATTTCTATTTTTAGTGTTTTTCTAGAAACTAATGTTAGTGAAGGGTTACAATATCCTATTAAATTTTAAAAAGTGATATCATTAGCTTTATTATTTATATTATTAAGTAAAAATAATTTTATTGTCTTAATTTTTTTACTGCCAATATTTATTAGCTCACATTTCTTATATAATGTTGGGTGAATGGATTTAAGATGTGTCTATAATCCTGAGGTTTCAAAATTGGGAAATGATATTTTTTTTTACATTTATTACAAATTGCCTTTTTTTTTATTATCACAAGTAGTATAAAATTCCCAGATTTTTGCTGAATTTCGTCTTTTATTAGATATTGATAATTCTTCTTGTTCCTTATCGCTATTATTATTAGTACCAACAGCATCTATATTTATTAACTCTATTTGGTCTTCATTTATTATAATATCCTAAATAAATTGATAAAATTGATAGATATCATGTAAAAAATTTACTTCCATAATAAAAATAAACTATAATTATAAATAACAGAAATATTGATATCACAGTAGTATTTGGAAGAAATAACAGATGTAATCAGTTTTTGCAATGAAAGTAAAAAAAATACCACGATATAATTATCCACGATAAACCCAAATAATTATGTTATTTTTAATATTGGTATTGGTTAAAATTGTATTTAAACAATATATCAAAACCAATGTATTTAGGTAATTGGTATTGGTTGTAAAAGCAATACCAATATTTAAATATATATTGGTATTGGTATTGTAAGCCAATATTATATTGGTATTGGTCCCACCCCTAGCCACACTGCATACCATTGTAACGTGTAAGTGAGATTTCAAAAACCTTTTTATAGAAATATGTATATTTAAAGTCCCTTTATCTACTTGAATCTTAATTATTAGAAACATGTTATTTTGATCATTAGGGTTCATAGGACAACCTCCAAAAATGTAATCAAATAGATTTTATAAAAATAGATTATGTGGCATATATAAAGATTCTTTCTTTCTTTTAATAACAATAATTAGGAACATCAATTTTATATAATTAATTTTAATAATGGCATTTACTAGGTGTTGCAGTGTAGTCAAAATATATTTGTCATTTAACAATATACTACATCAGATTAGTTAAGTTAATTTTTAAATATTTCAATCCATGTGACAGAAGCTTACATAATGGTAAATTATCAACTTTATTCCAGGGTGATTTCACATAATCATTTTTACACCAATCCTTGTATTCTGAGTATTCATAAGATGCTTGGTCCCAAGGTAATTCTAAATATATTTAAAACAAGTTACTTTTAAAAATATTCAAAACTTTAAATTTTGAATCAAAATATAATTAAAGGTTAAAATATACTTTCTTTCTAGCATAAAAATTAATTATTAAATTGAAGATTTTATCAAGGTGGGGTCAGCAAAACTTATAAAAGTTATTAAGTTCACTGCAAAGATATTCATAAGATCACCAATAAGATGTATTAATTGGAATATAATATATTTAAAGATTATATAATTTTTTATTATAGAGGACAATTTTTTATTAAAAAAATTTAATAGCAATAAAATAATTTATATGGAGGGTATCTAATCCATCTTACAAAATAAACTAACTTTGCTCCTTCTAAAAGTATAATCTCAAAAAAAAGCTTTGCCTTTATGGCAATGGTTAATTTTTTTCTGTTTAATATTTGAGGCTAAACTATTTATTTTGCTTAAATCTCTAAGTTAAAAACTTAAAAACAGTTTAAATAAATCATTTTGAATAGACTCAAAATGATATATGTAAAAGTGATCATTGAACTATTTATCTTATATAAAATTATAGATCTAAAATTTTAAACCTCCACTGAGAAGAGCAACAAGTATAATTCCACATGACCACAAATCAGCTGGTTGAGCTTTATATTTATTTTTAGTCATTACCTCAGGTGCAACATATGGCAATGTCCCACATTTTTTATCTAATAATCTTTCAGTATCTTTATAACAAAAAAGTGTTGCTAAACCAAAATCAGCTATCTTTATGTGATCTTAAAAAAAATATTTTAAATAAATTTTTTATTATAATAATTCTAAATAATAAAATTATTGAATTAATTTCTTAAATTTTATTTATCAGAGATCTGCTACAGGCTATAAAATTATAATTTTACCTAGACTAGGTCATAAAATAATCAAATTTAAAAATTGTCAAGGGGCTGTATCTAAAAATAAATTTTTTTAAAAAAAGGATGACCCAAATTTAAAATTAGATCCAGACTATTTATAAAAATTTAAAGTTATATTTTTTTTATATTTATGCAATTCATTAATAAATTTCATAAACCATTTAAATCTAGGAGTATATTTTCAGGTTTAAGATCTCGATGAGCAACACCTATTGAATGGAGATATTCAACCCCGAGAATTATTTGCCTGAAATATTTTTGAGCCAGCATGTGCTCTGTGCCAACATCAGGTTCAATTCTATCAAAAAGTTCCCCTCCTCCTGCATATTCCAAGAATATATAATGAGTCCTTAAATTTTCTTCATATCGATGGCCATAAAATTGAATAACTGATTCATGTTCCTTTAGCATTCGATGTATGCATATCTTATTAAAAAGAAAATAATATTTTAAATGATCTCACATATAAAAAGGAAACTACTTCTTTTCGAATATCCTCACCTGCCTTTTTCATCTTATCAACGTTGATAATTTTAACAGCAGCAGCTTCATTACCTTCTTTTTTAATGATTAACTTAACTCTTTATTATAAAATGATTATAAATAATAATTATAATTTTTACTCTCCAAAAGAGCCTTCCCCAAGTGTCTGTACATATTCCCAACCCTTTATACCTAATTCAGGCATAAAAAATTTTTTAAAATTTTTTAAAAAATAGGCAAAATTGAAACTCTTATAAAATAAATAGCGCAAAATCTTAACCTGTCATTTACTGCCAGACGGATGACTTTTATATATTGAAGCCTACGATGCAAATTCTAAGATACAAATGGCTGAATTTGTTTAATATTGCTAAATTATCAAGACATTTGTGTAAATAATTTATTAATAAATTTACAAATACTTCTATATTAAAGAGGCTATACATATTATATAAAATATTTTCAATTTACTTCCAATATTAATATAAAATATTTTTATGTGATCTTAACAATAAAACATTTTCAAATTTTTTATTAAGACGCCATCTCCTCCTTGGAGTCTTAATAAAAGTTCAACTGGTACAATAGATTGAATAGTAGTTTTATGTTTTATTTAATAAATATTTGCAGTGGCCCATATAACAGAGGGGATGCGAAGCAACTGCCTAATAAAATTTGAAAGTGTATACTGTCTTTTGAGTTTTTTTTAAAGAAAATATTGTACCCCAATGACTTTTTTATAAATTTTATCTTTAAATATTTTTAACAATTTTTTACAAGATCTTCTCAAACTATATCAAAAATTTATTTTAAAAAAGGGATATATAATAAAATGGAATAAAATAGAAACTAAAATCCAATCTTTAACGTATTATAACAAAAAATATTGGAAATATGGCTATAAAAAATTCAAAAAGATTGATTAGGTGTTTTCGATTATAGTTGATGGTATAAATGAGGTTTTGAAGTCAGAAGCAATAACATTGAAAATGGAGAAACGCCTAAGGCCACTTCCAAACACCACGTTTTTTCAAAACGTTTTCCGAGGCACGTTTTTCGCAATATTTTTTACTTCCAAACAGCAACGATTTATATTTTACAGCTGATTTTTTAAAAATGAATCTTATAATATTTTATTATGAGACATTATAAAAAAAACGAAAAGTAAGTATAATTTATAAATAAAGAGATCTGTATATGATCTATATCAATTTAAATGATTCGCAATTCTTTCACTATCTTGGATTATCTATGAATGTTTTCTATTATATACTTAACAAAATTGAAACTAAAATTATACACAAACAAACTAATGCAAAAACAACAATATCTCCTGAAAAGAGATTATTTGTTACTTTAAGGTAATATATTTAGTTATTTATATATATACAAACCATTTAAGATACTTAAGAATGGGCCTTAATTATTCACAACTATCTTATAGTAGCAGAATAAGCAAAAGTTGCATTGCTACAGGATTATTTAAAGACTATTTTAATTCTTAAATATATGTTTAATTTAACATATCATTATATATTAAATAAATAAATTACTTTTGTATGTGTATATAAATTAATAAATTACTTTTTTATGTGTATATAATACATAACTATTTAAACATCAACATTTTCTACTATAATATTATTTATATAATTATAAATAAGAGTTGCACATTAATTTTCATGGCGTCCTTAACTTCATTTGGCACCTTCTTTACATTATCAACCAAAGACAGGCACCAAAATCTATCTGGGTCATTATCAATTTCTAACATTTTGTCAAAATATCTTTCCATTGGGTCTTTTGTTACTCTAGCCCTTTTTACAGGTCTTATATTCTCTATATTATCTGTGATATTATTTAGTGTCTTTCTTGGTGTGGTGGAATTAGTAAGAAATGATAGTGAATCATATCATTTCCATGGAGTGCTAGCTTTTGCAGCATCCCCTGAATGCACTTCTTCTCTCTTTCTCTTTTCCTTTAAATAAGAATCCCTCAAATTCTTCCATTTTAATTTACAGACATTTGGGGATGAATCAAGCCTGGTAAATAATAAAGGATAAAAAATAATTTTATTTAAATAAAGATATAAATTATTAAAATTCATATTCCATGCTTACTAATAAATAGTATCTAATTAAAAAGTCTGTTAATTAAAAATTATTATTATAAAATAGTCAATATTTTCAATATAAAGTCTTGTTCTATTTTTTAGCACATAAAGTCCATAGTTCATCCACTAATAATCTATTAGAATAATTATCATTAGATTGGTTCCATAAATCGTCATGATCTTCTACAAAATTTATCAATTCAGATACAAAATTTCCTCTAAAATCATTTCATTTATTGAATATTAACGTTAAAAAAAATTATTTATTCATTTCAATTGTATCAGACGCCATTTAATCGTTAAAAAAAATCAAGCTAGTTTGTTATTAAAATAATGGCAAAATCGTATGCATGAAGCACACATCTATTAAGCTTAATTTGTTATTTATCGCTTTGAAAAAACGTCGTGTTTGGAAAATAGATATATATTGTTGGGTAACATTACTGGGCCTGATATATTAAAAAATATAATATGCAAAATATTGATGCTGGTATCCTGTAGATGTAGTGTAGAGGAAAGTATGTCTTAGGCTTCTATGACTTCTGAGAGTCTTTTTAGGAATTATTAGCTTTTTCAACCCCTATGATATAGATTTCCCCGGAATATTATATTTATTAAATTGAAAGGTATATACCTAGCGGATATTTTAATTTTAAATAATTGAAAATTTTTTTATAATTTGTTTGTAGTAATATCATCATAAATGGCGAATCAGTGTGCAACATTTTATAAAGAATATTTATTTTGTGAGAAATTAATTTTGCCATAAATTATAAATTGTGGTTTGTTAGGTTGCAGGATGAATAATATGAATATCACTTTTAAGATTGGAAACAAATTTTGTAGCGGACGTAGTTTCCCAAAATAAATGAAAATAGTCTGGGCCGGGACTTCAGAGGATGCGCTGGACTCAGGCCAAATTATCAACAGCGCTTAAGCCGAAAAAAATGGATTTTTATGGCTCTAATTTACAATCTATTAATGAATAATTAATAATTTAAATGTATAATCTAACAAAATTTATGCTTTTTTTAGTTCCTTTATCAATTATAAATTTTTCTCGGCAGTAGTTCTTTAAATTGGTTAAAATTAATCGTTCAAAATAATGTAATATAAATAAGAACTAAACGATTCTATTATTTGTTTTATCATGAAAACTCATAAACAATATATGCTTCTAACAGGATGTCTTCTTCTATTTACAGCGTTATTTTTTAAAATATTTTCGATATATCATAAATTGCATAAAAGATTTACTACCTATAGATACGTTGAACAAAAATTAAAAACTTTTCACCCATATATGATCAACATTGTTATATCCACACTGAGCATCACAGGATTGATTTTGTTAATAATGGGCACGTGTTTCGTTAAAGATGAATTTCATCGTAAAATATTGAACGCTAAAAAAAAGGTAAAATTTTTATTTGTTTTAAATTTAAAATTTTAACTATATACCCAAATATATACTCAAATAGCCATGATAATTAAGTCCCCCATCGTATCCGTGAATGCTTATACCATTTTCCTATATTTTAAATTTGTTTTTCAGGACTATTATACAAGTCTAACTTGCAAAACTTCTTTAAAAAAAATCAGATTTTGGAGCGGTTTAAATCGGTCTAACCTTCAATATTCGGGAATTACAATCTATTTTTTGGTCGTTATTCTGTTTTAATTTGTTAGGCCATTTAAAATTTATTTTGATTATAAATAATTCGTATATCCATTTTTTAAGAGAATATTAAATAAGGCCTTGCTTATAGTAACTAAGCACGCATTACTGGATATTTTAAGCAAATGTTTAAAATCTATAATCTACAGCGATGCAATTCAATTCATCACATCGCGCAGTTATTATAAATATTACCAATCATTTGCCTGCTTTAAAAAAATAAGCGAACAAGAAATCTCTTAGTATAAACGAGGTCTAAGAGTCATTTACATAATATTTTGGCTAAAAAGAAATGGCAATTAGTGTTAATTTTTAAAATTTGTGAGGCTTTTAGAAATTTTATTTTTAAGCTAATTTTTTTGATGATAAAAAATAATAATTTGTATCTTTCTGGAATTTTTTAAAATCTTGTATCTAAGATACAACTATATCTATATTATGTGAAAAAGTCTAAGTTTTCTCCTTCAGGAAGAGAAAGTATATATGAGCGACGAATTGAACAAATTTTGGAAGAAAAGTCACCGGAAAAAAATCCCGAAAAATATCTTAAGAAAAAAGCTTTCAGAAAAAATTAATATCGGAAAGGTATCCTGTCCTGGGACCAGGGTTGCCATGTCTCCCCCTAACATCGGGAGACTCCCGCAATTTTTTAGTTTACACGCAGACATCTCTCTCCCTCAAAACTACCGCAATTGAAAATCTACCGCAATTTTTTAATTTCTCCCGCAATTTTTTTTTTTAGTATTTTAACGTTTTTAATATATAAATAATTTTTTTATTTTTATAATAAATTTTAAATATTTATTTGAAAATGTCCAGTTTGTAAATTTCTTTCTATCCTGTTTTATTTTTATCCAATAATAAATCAACATCCTTTCATTCATATAAGTCAATACATGAGAGTATATCAACATCGATTGCAATACAAAAATATTCTCCAAAAATAATAAATATTACAGATGCAACTACAGTGGAAATTGTATAAAACTATTATGTAGTTAAAAATTCACAGAGCTATATCATCAGAATGTGGGTCGAATCTTTCCCATGATATTTAACGACTCCAATATAAGTGCAAATTTTACTTGTGGTAGAACAAAAAATGAGCAAGGCTATCACAAGTGTTTTAGTACCTGAATCCTAGAAGTCAATTCTAGACGATTTGAAAGATGGGCATCTATATGCAATTCTAACAGATGTATCTAATAAGGGAAGTATTAAAACATTTCCCTTGATCCTTCACTATTTCAACGAATAAGAACATTTCAATATAACTTTTTAAAATTTTTTCCTCGATAGTGACAAATCCATGTAGCTAACCACATAAGGTAAATATAGCTGATTCAGGGTTATCGATGATTTGTATGTCAGCTTTCTGCACTGATAATGCCTCTGTAAATTTTGGCAAAAACCAAAGTGTATTTACCGAATTGAATAATGAATTAATACCAATTGGCGGTATATGCCATATACTACATATTTCTTGCAAGAAGGCAATGAATGTACTATCTGTAGATGTCGAAATAATTGTGATGAAATGTTTTAACGAATTTAGTTCATCAACTATAAGAGTTAATGAATTAAAAGAGTTGGTGGAGTGGTCTGAGGTGTGAGTTGTTGCGATATGTACCTATCAGGTGGTTATCATTAATACCTACTGTGGTAGGCACGCTTATTTTAATGTATATGTATTGTTTTTCTTTATTATTACTCATATTCTTTTAATCGATATTATTTGTTTTTTTTTATCAATATTATAATTTTGTCAATATTTTTTTTTATCGATATTGTTTGTTTTTTTTATCAATATTTTTTTTTATTATTATTTATGTGGGTTATAAAAACCCTGAAAAAGAAGAATTAAAACATTATATTTTTATTCTGTTTATTATTTGGAAATAAAAGTAAATTATATAGAAATAGGAAATTGATACATTAATATATTAATATCTGAGATAAAAATTATAAGGAAATCGAAATATATAGAAATAAGAAATATATAGAAATAAGAAACCTGCCATCGATAGAATTTTAAAATTTTACAAACCTTAAAAAAATACTTCTTAAATAAAGATTTTAAAAGCTGTCCAAAAATTATTAAAAATTTTTTAGAGTATGAAATGGCAGAAGCATATTTGGGATTAGTTTCACATGTAGGAAATCTACTTCATGAAGTTAATATTCAGTTGCATCAGAATATCTTTATTAATAAAGATTCACAAAATCAGGCTACAGCTCTGTTCATCTCTACAGTTAAAGATTGATAAAAAATTTTATGGCGCTATTGCTAAAAATATTTTATTAAAATGTTCAAATAATACTCTAATTAATACATTTTTAAATGAAGCAGATAATTTTATTAAGACAATTTTAGAATATTTACAATCAAAATTTGATTTTAAAAACTCTATTTACTAATGTATGAATATTATGATCTTGGAACAGAAACCATCAATTGATGGTTTTTGTAATTTAATAAATATATTAAAAATACCGAAAGACATTGATGTCTTGTTTGAGGAGATTGTAATTCTCTATTTTTTATGATTCGCCAGAATACTTAAAGTTAG